TAGAAAGTCCATGCAAATTTGTAACATGGGGGAGAGGGTTTGCTTGTGTTTTCACAGGTGAAGGATCCAAATGGGTCCCAGCGAAGAACGTGAAGCCCACTGACATCCCCACACCAAGCAGTGCCTCTGCAAGTCTAAGCCAAGAGGCAAAAGTCCAGACCTGAACTGTGCAGAGTCAAGAGGAAACTACCTGCCAGAAACAACTCAAGAAAATGATGGACATTTGTTTGCACATGCATGTTGCTTTTGTTCCCTTGTTGTTGCTTTTGTTCTTTTGTTTTGGTTTTCATATTGAAGTTTCACCTGTAAGTTAACCAAAGACAAATGCCTGGGTTGCTTTAGCCAAGTCTGCAGGCTCTGGTACCATCTCCCTAGCTGACTCAAGCCCTAAAAAGCCTTTTCAATCTGTTCAATCAGAGAACCTTCTCCAGAAGGTTTTGATAATGCTACCTCAGCTAAATTCTTCCATTACACTAAAACAGTTAAACAAGTTAAGATGTTGGCTCAGTAAAGAAATAAATACCACCTCTACTATAATCAATAATTTAACTGAACAGTTTATCTAATGGTTTGAGCTTTGCACCTTGGCTGAAGGAACTCTGTAAAGTAAGTTTGATTGTTCTAGAAGTAATAAAGGTAGTTTCAGTAGCAGTACCCTATATACCTCAAAGCGTGCAAGAAAATAGTAGTTAAGTCAGTGCTTAGTTTTCAAATGGTTTAACAGAACCATTATTCCCATGCAACAAGATGGTGGGGAGGAGCAGTATGTGCCTGAGGAGATCCAGGAAAGAGTCACAGCTATTGGGTTCAGTAGCAATTGGAGCTCCAAGGACTTCAGCCAGGGAAGAGGCCAGGCTAATCTCCTAGGCAGACAAGCTTACACTCACTCTGTTCATCAGCCAACACACAAACTACACCAAGGGGTGTGGAACAACTGGCAAAGAGGAAGGCAAAAGTAGAAAGGTGGAGAACTCAGTATCTGCAGTTCCTAATGCTCTCCCTGTGAAGGAGCATATTGACTGGTGATGAGCATATTGACTGGAAAAATCTAACCACAGACTCAAATCCTCTCACACATAAAACTGACTTAGTTCAGGTCTTCAGAGAAAGCCAGTTACGGAAGTCAGACATCCTCTGCATCCACTCCTTCAGCTGTCCTCTGAAGGGAAAGCTCCTCTCTTCAAAACTGAAGCATCTTCTAGATTCTGATTTCAGAAGCTACTTTCAAGTCATGAATTTAAAATGGAGAGACATATCTCTACAACACAGAATATTGCTCTACAAGCCAAAAAAAACCACCCCACTAACAAACAAAATAACAATAAAAAACCTCAAACTCACCAGGCAAGTACTAGGCATGGGGACCATCCAACAAATTTGGATGCTGCAAATTCTAGTAGAGGCCTATACCCTCAGCAGTTGCAAGCAGTAGATCCTCCTTGTAAGGCACAGGGACAGAATTATAAAAGTATCCAAGTACCACGTGTACAGAATTACAGGTATCAAACACACTGACATGTGCTATTAGCTAAATTGCCCACACTATAAGTTGAAGTAGGAGCATACAGCGAGGAAAGAGGAAGAAGAGAGGATGTAAGAAAATACTGATGAGTGAGATGTGACAAAACCTTGCTTTAAATGCAGTAAACTCTAAACATCCATCATTCCTTTATAAACTATGCTAGAAAGAAAAATACACTGGCTTTTCTTTTAGACAAGTAGCTTTCCTACCTGAAAAACAACTTCACAAAAGAAATTATAAAAGTGTAAACAATCATTTCAAGGTAATACAAGCTTCTGATTCCTGTCCCTGGAGGACCAGGGAAAAATCCATGGAGCACTGTACAGCACCACAAGTTTCACCCCAGATTTCTCAGCATCTCCCTGTGCTTCTCAGCTGAAGACGTACACTAGCTGTAATATATTACATATATTACATTTTCCACTTCAAAGTATATTGAGCCTAAAAGGAAAATCCTTATGCTGGACCTACTTTTTCTGCCATTTAACCTGGGTTTCCTTGTTGCACTACTTCCAGGTAAACTACAGCCTCAACTTTTCAGAGTAGAAGTCTCACTGTGTTCTTTATTAAATGCCTTTCTTAATAAATAAAAATAATAGATAAGGGTAACAAGCTGCACAGTAAGAAGAGTTCTCACTGTATACTCCTAAGTGTAATTACTTAATATACTTCCAGTTCATGACTGACAGAGCCTTGCTTAATATGCCCTTAGAAACTTTATGGACAGAAATGCCACAACCTTATTGTTTCAAGTTACTACAGGTGCTATTTTAGTTAGGAGTTAATTTTCATGTACAAGATCCACCAGAGGGAGATCACAGCAAACTTAAACAATATTAAACAATAAAACTTCTTGCCACTCCAAGAGAGAGACAAACTCAGAAAGATCCCCCGGGTTACAGCTGGGCTCACTCAGTCTCTGATCAGTCCCTCCGGCGCTGGAAATGCCACGGCCCCGGCCCAGCCCGCTGGGCCACTGGTGCTGCTGCTGCTGGTCTCTCCTGGTGTTCAGTCCAGAGCAAGTCCAGAGAAAAGGAAAAAACCATAGTCCAGGGAACTTCTTTGCCTCAGCTAGCTAAAACTAACTAGACTAGGAAAAAAAAAACCAAAGGAGAGCTCTGTCTCGTTGTCCGTCTGTCCGTAGACAACTCAGTCCAGGAGCAGGAATGTGGAGGAGGGAGTGCAGTTCTTGAAAACAAACTCCGTGCTTCTTCCCCTCATCCTCCTTCACTCCTGGAACAAATCTTAAAGGTGTAGAACTTATTATTCAACATAAACAGGGCAGACGATTGGGGATAAAGGCATCATACAGTCAACCTAGGACAAATGGACAGGACACTGCCATTTTCTTCCAAGTGAGAGAGCACAATGGCAAAGATTTCCAGGTTCAATGGTCACAAGCTCAACTCAATATAGCTAGGAGGAGCAAGGGCATTTGTTTTTCAAGAACATGCAGTGTTTATATGACCATGTACTTTGCCAGTCGATTTATTTAATGATCATTCCCCTTTTGAAACTCAAAAGCAAAATAAAGCCCCTTGGCTTTGCTTAGGCAAGGAGCAACTGAATAGAAAAATGAAGTCCACAGGGACTGCAAGTCCACCAGCAAGCTGGTAGATCACAAGACACAAGCTTTTAGAATGAGCTTCTAAAAGATCTTGAAACTTCTTCAACCTTTCCAGAAGCATAATCTTGCATGGGAAGAATAGATAAGAGACCAATCCAAAACAGAACAGTTTCTCAAGTCAGCCTGTGGTAGATCTGCCATCTCTCAAGAGTCAACTCACTCAACAGGCCCACTCGCTGTAGTGAACTAAAGTATCACAGTCTGATTGTTCAAGTAATAACGAATACTTGAGGCTGAAAAAGGTGTTCACAAAAGTGATTCAGCATGCAAAACTCTTGAGCAGTCACCAGATGTCACCATCTCTCAGGATACTGAAGCAACAGGCCAAGTGACAAAAACAGAAGAGAATGTTTCTATCACACATCTACACCTTCAGGTCCAAAGTAAGGCCAGAACAAGCAACTTAGCCACCACAACTTAAAGGGTGCACATTTAGGAGCCAACCTGGACTGGTCATCTAAGGCAGTAACCTCCAGCCTTCACATCACAGACACATGGCTGATGCTTTCTGTTCATTCTCACTTCCAACCTCAAGCCTTGAGACTCTTGATATTCATGAGATCCTTGAGAATTTAACAGCCTCACAGGAACACCATCTCTGGAAATGATCACCAGTCGCACTTCCCAGGCCTTCCTTCCACAGGTCTTGTGCAACCCAGGTTTGCTCACGAGCTTGGGTGGAACTGAAACTCTTTGTCATCACACTTAAATACGCACAACAATTTTTGTGCCAGATGTTGTAGCATCTTCTAAATTTCTTCTCTCATATTAAAACTTCCTCATTTATTTTAGGGATTTGGATTCCAGCATTTACATTTTGAGTTGTCACTAGCATAACCTGGTTCTGTCTTACATACAAAGCAGGAAATAGCATGTGCTTTACAGGCAAAGTGTGTTCTGCTTTTTTTCATGGCTTTTCTATCTTTTTGCCCCTTCTGCAGAAAAACAGCAGTCAGTGCTATGCACATCCAGAACATACTCATAAAATAGCGTGCCCAATAAAATATTAAATGTATGGCCCAGTAGGCTATAATAATGTCTATAAGTTTTAGGCATGTTTCAGTACCCTCATGTAGTAGGCATATACAAATAAAAAGTAAATACTTTCCGTCCAAAAAGTCGTGGTGTGATGCTACCTCTGGTAGATTACCTCTAGTGATTCCTTTTCAGAAACTAAGGCCACTCTGCATTTTCCTCAAAAAGAGATAGCTAGAAGCCAGGCCACAAAACACACAGTTTTATAAAACTGCAAGCTCAACAACTATGATTGAAATCTTCACTTTCCTTTGATCAGAAGAAACAAAGAATGAGTGCAAGGGATGAAAGAAAAAAAATAGTAGAAGGAAAAGAAACAAAGAAAAGTCTCAGCCCATCTACCCTACTACAAAAAACAAGAATAAAATCTGCTCTGTGTCCACAAGGTACCTTGATTTCAAACAGCTGAATGCATACACAGGTAGCTATGACTCTGAGAGTAACATACAGTCTGTTTTTAAAAGATTAGACCAAAACAGGAGGTCGACCATCAGCCACTATATATTAGAACATAACACAGCATCTCTTATCAACTAGTGGTAGAGGGCAAGCTTGTATTCTTGGAGCGGTTTTGTCTTCATAGTAGATGGTTCCATTGCAGAGAACATTACCAGAACACCTCTAAACTAGTTCACCCACTGTTTGGAAGGCTGGGATTAATTATGGCATAACAAAAGAGAGTAAGTTTTAAAACAAGAGGAGAAGTGAAAAAAAGGGCCAGAAATATGAACTTCAGTAGAAACCTCAGGATACACAAATGCCCTTAGGTACAAAAAAAAGAAGGCATCTAAAACCAGCAGAAGAAAAATTACTTACCTTTCAAAAGGGGCTGGAAAGTTGGAATTTCCTGCAGTTTTATGACATCTGGATCATTGCGGACATTCCGTGAGGATTGTGTTCCTGGGGCTACAACCACAATGTCGTCCATTTTTGCTCGATGCTTGGCTGGCAATGGAGATGCTGGATATTGGAGAAAGGGGGAATAATCAACTTTACAAGCCGATTACACCAGAATCCAACCCTATGGGAATATTGCTCTATTGAACACGGCACAGGTATGCTTTTTCTAGCACATCGCCGAGATCACTGAAGAGCTCTAAGCTCCGTTCCCTCTCCCCACCGGGGAACAGCTGATTCCGAACACCTGCACCACTGCCGGCCCGCTCGTTCTTACTCCGCCAGCTCCGCGCCCAGGGCGCTCCCCATGCCCGGCTCTGCTCCCCCGGTGCCCCTGCGCCGTCACAGGAAGGGCCAGGCCGCGCTGCCGCTGCCTCCCGGAGAAAGAGCCCTTCCCTTCTCCGCAGCCGCTGTGCCGGCACAGCTCCGCGCCCTCGCTCCCTGCCGGGCACTGACCTGCGGCGCTGGGCTCGCCCGGGCGGCTCTCGGCCTCGACGCTCTGCTCGGCGCCCATAGCGGCGCCCCCGCGCTCCGCCCGCCGCCCGCGGGGTTCCGGCTGCGCGGGTCAGGCGGCTCCGCCCGGCGGGCGGGGCCCTGCAGGGCCGGGCCGGGCGGCCGAGCCCGCCGCAGCCGCGGCCGCGGGAGGCGGCGCGGTGAGGCCGAGCTGTGTGGCCAGGGAAGGTGCTCCTGCTCCGCTGCTCGGCCCGAGTGACGCTAGTATTGGTAGTGCTGTGGCCTCTTCTGCGTTCCTCGGTGTTAACGGACAAGTTACATTTCTTTAAAAAGGAGCCTAGGACCGAATATCCTGAGTTGGGAGGGACCCACAAGGATTATCGAGTCCCTGCACAGACACCCCACAATCCCATCCTGTGCATCCCTGAGAGCACTGTCCAAACGCGCCCGGAGCTCTGGCAGCCTTGGGGCCATGACCGCTCCCTGGGGAGCCTGGGCAGTGTCCGACACCATCTGGGGGAAGAACCTTTCCCTGTTACCCAGCCTGACACTCCCCTGACCCAGCTCCAGCCGTTCCCTCGAGTCCTGTCCCTGGTCCCAGAGAGCAGAGCTCAGTGCCTGCCCCTCCACCTCCCCTCAGGAGAAGCTGTGACTGCGCTGTCTGCCCTCAGTCTCCTCCAGCTGAACAGACCAAGTGCCCTCACATGGCTTCCCCTCAAGGCCCTTCACCATCCTCGTGCTCTCCTTTGGACACTCTCTAATAGTTTAATGTCCCTCTGATATTGTGGCACCCAAAACGTCACACAATATTTGAGGTGAGGCTGTCCCAGAGCAGAGCGGGACAATCCCTCTCTGGCCCAGCTAGGGATGCTCAGTATTTGTGCTGAAATCAGCTCCAAGTGGGAAAAGGTAATATTGGTAGGGGGGATCTCCAACCACTGATCACAGGCCACCAACCCAAGAAACTCCTGGACCCAAAAGAAGAGAAAAACTGAGTATGTGGACTAATTAACATGAAAATCAAGTGAACCATTAATCAGAAGAAGCTAGAATACTAATTAATTAGAGAATTACATAACCAATAACCAATGAATACTAATTCCTTTGTTTTCCAAAATGTATAAATAGTCAAAAGTTTTGATAATTGATTAACATGTTTGGTGAGGCAATACCCAAGCACCTCTTTGCTGAATAAAATAATATCAGCCTTCTAACCTAACAAACTGGGTGAGAAAGCTCATTTTCCAGTTTGTGGTGAGGAGAGGGTCTAGCAGAGGCCACAAGGATGATGTGGGTCTGGAGCATCTCTCCTATAAGATGCATGCCATGGGAGGAGTGGGAGCTTCAGATAAACTCTGCCATAGCTCAGATTTTGGCAACCGTTTAAATGTAAGGACTCACCCTGGCCTACAAGTTTTAGTCATGGCAGATCGGGTCTGTTTATAAAAATGAATTATTTATTGAACAGACAAGTGATAAACAGATGAAAGATCTTAATCAGAATTACTTACTACACTTTATAAAACTAAAACAACTAGGGGTAGATTACAGTGTGACATAAAACAGTGCATGATATCAAGGTACCTCTATTAAATGTAGCAAAAGAAACAGTATTAGGAGTGATATGTAACTTCCCACTGACAGGTCAGTAACATTCACAGATTCCTTCACTCAGCCTCCAGGAGAGTATCATCAAAAGAGTGTTCCTATTCAGGGGAGAAAATCCACACATTTCCAGGGAAATGTGTAGAAGATTTCTGCTTTGTGGAAGTTTGGTGTGGCTTTTATAGTTGTAAAGTGAGGTGTCTGGCAGTCAGAAATCCAGCTTATAATTCCAGATTTCACTTGGACAGTGAGATATTTATTGGCAGTTGGGAGATGCCAGACTCATGTTAACTCCATGGCCCCAAAGTGATCCACTACAAGACAGCTTGTCCTGTCTGAGTTATCTGACCAGTTAACAAATAACAAATAAGTTCTTGTGAGGGGTGAGATGCCCTGCTACAAAGGGACTCCAGGGGACTGGGCCTGTTTAGTTTGGAGAAGAGACAACTGATAGAGGATCTCTTTAATGCAGATAAATATCTTAAAGGGGGTGCCAAGAGGAGGAACCAGACTCTTATGAGTTGTGCCCAATGACAGGACAAGGAGAAACACCCATAAACAAAAATATGAGAAGTTTTATTTCAACAAGAAGAAGAATTTCTTCCCATTAAGGATGGCAGAGCACTGGAACAGCTGCCCAGGGAGGTTGTGAAGTCTTCCCTCCTGGAGAAACTCCAAAACCACCTGGAATGTGGATTGCGGTGCCACCTGCTCTGCCTTGTCAGGGGGGCAGGACTAGATGATCTCTAGAGGTCCCTTCCAACCCTAACAATTCTGTGATGATGTGATTTTTTTAATTAAACGTATTGATTCTTCTGTACCAAGGTAAACCTGCCAAACCCCAAAGTGCTGGGCACAGAGGAGAGTAGTGTGGGCAACACCCATCTCCAGCAGCCCTTATATACCCACTTGCCAGAAGTGAAGGAAAAGCAGCCCAGATCAAAAGTCCACAGACAGCTCAGGCTTAGGAAAACAAGATTTAAAAGCTAAAAAAAACACTACTGTAAATGAGAAGGATACATACTTTGAGATTTGAGATTTACTGTTTTCATATTTGACAGTCAAATCAGCAAACACATCATGTGTATGACAGAAGAATTGCCTATAAATAAGAACTGCCCTAGCCCATGCTGGTTTCTGAACAAGCCTTTTCTATGCTCATGCCCAAAGCCCAGCATCATCCAAAGCTCTGCACCAAAATCGGCACTATGTCTCTTGGCTGCCTTTGCTAATTTCCACCATGATTTAATCTCACACAATAACGATGCTCCTATCTCTTGAGGACCTCAGCAGAGTTACTGGCATCCAGGCTATGGGAAGGCAATCCCAATCCAACAGAAACTGCTGCTAGCTGTAGGCTGTATGCTGCACTAGGTACTTTTGCAAGTATTAGAATAGATTACAATAGAGGTTCATTTTATCTGTGCCTTGTGGTGTTGTATTTTAGTTAAATGGTATGCTCTGTCTCACCCCTCGAAACTGTATGGTTTATTCCAAGCCTGTAATCCTCCCCTGAAGTATCCTGTATCTGAAATCCCATTGGCCTGAACTTAAAAGTGCCCACTTGGAAACTCCCTGTTAAGTGTACCGGTGGGACCAGGCTCTCGGAGCCGGCTCTCTGGGCCGGTGCTGTTTCGGCCCCTCTGCCACCCTCCCCTCTCCCTCCCCCTGCCCTCCCTCAGAAACCATGCTGCTTCCCGGGGGTAGGACCCCCAATAAGCCCTCATCTAATTAGCACCTTCAGAAGCTGTGTGGAGTCTCCTTGCCTGCCTGCTGCAACCAGCGAACTCACAGTTTGGGGGGCCCCGGGGACACCCCGAGGGTCCCCCCAAACGCACCGCAACAGTGCCTGAGTTTTTCGCAATGTGCAGCACTGGCTCCGAAGCAGAGAGATGCTCTATAGAAAACAACTTTAGTGACCTAGCATTATGTCTAAGAGCTAATGGTGTCCCACCATTCTCTCTCTCTCAGCTTCCCTTTCTTCCCATTGCAGTGGTAAGGGAACACAACAGCTGCTGAGCAAGGCTGGCTCTCTCCTGGCTCAGTGGATGTGGTTTCTGCATAGCTTTTGATGGACCTTGGCTTCCCTGCACCTCAGCAGCCTGACCGATTTGCTTCTGATCTCCCCAGGGAGACTGAGTGCCTGCCCCACCAGAAAGAGCAGAAATTTGCCATGGTGGCCAGAGTGGGGCAGTCGTGTTATCCCCAGTATCTCATCTTCCCTGCTTACATTATAGATTACATCAGCCCTTCTCATTTTCCCATGGTCGTCTATGCCTGTCTGACCACAGCAGTCTCTGTGTATATTCTCACATTCGCCATCTCAACAATTCAGGTGAAAAACCCGTTTCCTCAGCTGTTCTGACCAACTCAGCCAGACCTTTATCTTCCTTCTGCTTGTCTTCTTCCATCGCCTCTGTGTAAGCAAAGTCAGGTGACAGCTGCAACTTTGTCTAATACATAGTACGGGTAATACCTGTGCTTGCTTTTAGTATTCATTCCCCTGTTCATTCACTGTGTGATGCAGTTAGTAGGTAACACCTTAATGTTCAGATTCTCTTGGGACTTTTTCTTTTAACAGTGAAAATAATGTAACCAGTTTACCAAAAAAGGGCTAGAAAGGTTCATTTTCTTAAACAATGCAGCTGAAAATTTTAGAAGAAACAGTCCCAACAAGACTGCGAGAATCACAAACATTATTAATTGCCCCAAGGTGTCTATGTGATGCAAAATGAGATGGTAGGCTCAGTCACTTACAACACTCATGTCCAAATAAAAGCCAACACCCAGCAATACTGACAAAGGGAACTGACTGTGCATGAAAAACAAGACAGCCTCCCATGCCTTGGCATCTAGCCATTACAATACATACATTAACCTGCCCTTTGGGATCTCTTCAAGTAATGCACATCTTTGAAAAGAAAATTACCTCTTTCTGGAAAAAGAAGGAATCTATCTTATAATCATTTTACTCTTTGCATTCCTTTGGTCTGCTTTTACTCTAAACACTACCTCAAACACTGCCCCAAAATAGTTAGAAATTAAAGAGGAAATTAAAAATTTCCAAGCAAAAACATTACTTAAGCAAGCAGTTGCACTGAAACAGCTGATAGAAGAATGGCCAAGACACTAGTTGTGGTCCCAGTAGATAGACGTTTTTTGTTCATTTTTTTTTCCCATTCCACAAACATCTTGTGCTTGGTTATGATTTGAACAGGATTACTCAGCAAGGAGTCTTTTACACACACATGTAAATATGTCCATGTCCATTTAGTCTGGGATATGCATATTAATTGCTTTCATTACAGCTCCCAAAAGCAGATCTCAGGTGGACGAGAAGTCTGACTGTGGGTAAAACCATATCAACCTGATCACCAAGAGCTTCTCTAGGTGGTTTTGCCTTTGTGTCTGATGCTCAGGAAGGACCCTTGGTGCCAGCGAGTGGCTGTAGGAGTGGGAATACCCTCGCAGCCCCACTGGGCAGGCAGAAAGAGGAGGGCAGGAGTCAGGTAGGAGAAGGACAGGCAAGAGGAGGAGGGCAGGCAAAAGGAAGAGAGCAGGAAAGGGAAAGCAAGGGAGAAGGAGGGCAGGAGAAAAGGCAAGAATGGGACAGGAGAATGGCGGGCAGTGAGAAGGAAGCAAGAGAGGAGGAGGTGAGGCTGGAAGGCAGGAGGAAGGTAGGTAGGTAGGTAGTTAGGTAGTTAGGTAGGTAGGTAGGTAGGTAGGTAGGTAGGTATGTTAGCGTTCCGGAACACACATAATCACAGGATATGATTATATGCAGGTGCTTTTATTAAGAGCACTGGGAATCAGGTGTACAGACCCAAATCTGACTCTGATATGGCTTTCGAGCTGAACATATTTTATATTCTATTGTTATATAACTTACATATTAATTATTAAATTTATATTGTTCTATTGTATACATTGACATGAGTTTCTCATGATCTTTCTTAGGTCCCTGACCACAGTTTCTCATGATTATTCTTATGATTAAACAGTAATTATATTTAATTACTAAACAATCATCACATCTAACAATTATATAATTTATCATGTACTAGCTACACAGGTGCAGTTCTAGCAAGTACAAGTTCTTCATGTGCTTAGGGTATTTATTTTTCCAGGGCCTACTAAGCTTATTTTTCCTGTTAACCCTAAATCCCCATGATTTTAAAACCCTTTTACTATCAGGTAGGTAGGTAGGTGGGTAGGTAAGCAGGTAGGTAGGTAAGCAAGAATTCCAGGAGGAGGAGGAGGGCAGGCAGGCAGGAGGAGGGCAGCAGGGGTCGCGGGTCCGCCTCCCATGGCTCCTCCTTCCGGACGTGCCGGGACAGCCGCGCTTCCCCCGAGCCACCGTCCCGAGTCCGGCCAGGATCCGCCGCTGCCTTCCCGACCCCGCGCTGTGGGTGGGGGTAGCCCGAAGGTGCCCTAATAACGCGTGCACACCCCGGGAGCAGCGGAGAGCCCTCGGCGCAGCTCCTTCGGCTGCCGCTGGCCGCGAATCCCGGCCGTGCCGGAGGAGACCCGCGGGGACTGCTCCGGGTCACCATGTCCCTCGGGGGCAGCCGCTGGCCGGTTCGCCTGCTGGTGGTCACCTGCGTGATGGCCAGGACGGCGCTGAGCCAGGAGTGCTCCGCGGAGAAGATGGAGAATACCATAATCGACATAGATCTGTCCCTGCCCCGCGGCGTCCGGGGCGCGGAGCCGCTGCGCGTCCCCAGCGCGAGTGCGTGTGTCCGCGCCTGCTGCTCGGGGCACCGGCTCGCAGGTAACGTCGGCCTCCTTCTCCGAATTTACCCTCTATTTCAGGCTTCGCTTAGTTCCAGCTTGTGGCTACTACCTTCTTTTGCCAGTAGATGTTAGATCTTAACGCAAGACCCTGTAGGTGTTCAGGAAAATAGTTGCATCACAGAAACAGCGTTAGTTTTAGGCGTTAAAACCTTCCAAACCCCGAACCTCGAAGGTGTGTAAGCTGTGTTTAGTAGATGCACTAAAAGTAGCTGACATTTTGCATTGTATTTAATTTTAGCCAAAAAAAGAGAATGCTCACCCTCCTCTGAGACAGCTCGTTTGAATCAAGCTCTTGGAGCAGTAGGAGTAGAGCAGCAAGTAGAAATGACAGTGGTGAAGGTGACCCCCCCAAAGCAGCAACTAACCAAGCGATTCCTGAGATGTAGTAAGGAAAAATGTCTAAATAATTTTCTTCCCCATGAGTATATTGAGGAGGTTTTCAGATTCATCAGGATTTGTAAGCGAGCAATTGTATAAAGTGGTGCCAGTGTGGTATGCGTGAGGGGAGGATGAGAGATTAGACTCATAATTTCCCCAACTTTATTTGTATAGGAAAAGGAAGGTGTGACCTTTCATATTTTGGCCCTGGGCCATTCTTCTGCAGTCTCTGGCAGTTTTTTCCTGTAGGAATGTTATGCTAGTAATTTTCCTCTTACTCACATGAGCAAAAGTTAACAAACTAGATCTCATTACCATACTGCTATAAAAGTTCTTACTGCTGAAACAGGCATTTACTTTGTTTTGCAGGAGACAAGAAATGTAATTTGATTATTTTTTATGCTGCAAGAGCAAGTACACATCCAAACTGCTACTTGTTTTACTGTCCTAGCACTGAGGCTTGTCCAATGAAACCTGCAACAGGACTTGTGAGCTACAAGATAACTACAGGTAAATAATAGTGAGAGCCATCAGCCTCCACACCACACTGCAAAGTGACTTTTGCACTTGTAAAGTTTCAGCAGTGATCAGGAACTGTTTGGAGGTCATATTTTTAATAAAGTGATCTCAGCCAAGCATTATGATTTAAAAATATTTATCTTTTTTGTTGTGGAGGATGGATGAGTAAGCTCCTTTGTGGGCCCAGCTTCCAGCTTAGAATAATGTCCCAACCCTTATAATATTCCTTCACATTAGATTCAGAAATCCTCATAATTTGTTCTTACTTAAAACAAAAAGAAGCTGCTTCCATCTAGATATATTCAAGAAGGAAAATTTCCTGTACATAATACTGAAAAGTATCACAAAAACCAATGGAAATACCATGCCCTTGTAGCCAGCTGTGTATTTAAAGGACCCATGCTACACTGATGAATAATTGGCAATAATAATAAATAATCATTATTTTCTGCTTTCAGTGAGGGAACCTGAAGTGCAGAAGCAAACTTTCTAAACTCAGCTGTATGGCATGTGGGCTGCACAGTCAGAAATTTCTTGCTCTCTGACCTATGCTGTTTTTTTTTTAACAGCAAGGCCTACTTGTTGATTGACATTGACATGCACCAGACGTGTTTGAACAGCTCAGATAAGAAACTGATAATTAGATTATCCTGCCAAGGTGGTTTCTATATGGCTACTTGAGAGATCAAACTTCTGCTGAAAAAGAGAACTTTTCCAAGAGGAACTATGCAAGGAGAAACAGTATGATATATAGAAAAATTACTCACGTAATGTTACCAAGTATTTTTGTTCAAGCACAATCTCACAGGAATCATGCAAAAGCAATGTGCAACAAATGAACTGCATTCTGTAAAATTATTACTAAAATTACAATGTCCTCCAGCTCTTTCTGCCCTAGAAGAACATTGGGTTATCAAACAAAGAAACAAGAAATGCAATCATGCTTGTGCTTTTGTTTGGCATGTAATGCAATGCTGAGTGAACAACTTGATTGCATATAACACTTCTTTTTCTTTTTGGAGACTTGATTTTCTCTGAACATTTAATTGTGGAAAGATTATGCTAGCTTGTTTAATGTTCTTGGCAAGTTTTCAAAGGTAGCACCTGAGCAGTGTCTGTAGAAACAAATGTTTCAAACTGTTCTTTAATGTAAGAATCTGTATGTGGTTACACTGAAAACCAAGATGAAAGGGGGAAAGATGCTTCTTTATTTATTCCAAGTCCAGTGCATTTAACAAACTCATTTGTTTCAATATTAAAAAGAGATGAGTGAGTATCAAATCTACTTGAGAGCATGCTCCCTTTTAAATGTTCTGTGCAGCAGCTGAATGGTTATCATGAATATATTATATATATTCTATATTTTTATAAATAAAATTATATATAGAATATAAATTGACAATTAGCCTGTCTTTCCAAGAGCTCATGCTCAGCCAATAACTTTCTATAATACCTGTAAATCAGATAAATATTGTAGAAAAAAATACTGCAAAACCAGATAGATTTTAGGATTATTATTTGCATGGCATTTCTGCACAGAACACTAGTTATATGACTAGGCTTGAGGCTGACAGCTTTTATGACATAGAATTTAAATGTCACTGTGCATATGTTAAAGAAAAGAAGTTTCATCAGTCATTATCTCTTAGAGTCCCCTTACATAAATGTTCCTAAGAAATATAAAGAGAGTATGCCTACATTAGTCAAAAATAGATTGAATAATTAAATACCAATATTTCTGTTTCCAGACATTCATGCCCTAGAGGATAAATCCATCAAAACTGAGAACTTTTCTTCAAATGAGTATTCTTTGCCTTCGGATGCTGGAATCTTTACTTCTCAGAGTCAGAATATCCATCAGAATCACACTGCCAGTTTGGAGCAGTCTGTCTTTCATCAGGCATCTGAACTCCTGAACCACATAGGCAAGCATTTGGACAATATGGAACTTCATACAGTTTCTCCTGAATCTCAAAGAGCAAAAGAATGAGAGCTTAGACCCCATCTCAAGGCAGCAGATAATTAATCTGCCACCAAGCACACCTTCTGCTGTTCCAGCTAGAAACCCCAGTGCTTCCTTCCCCACCACTGCTCGGGCAGGCGCCCCTGAAACCAGTAGCACTTCTCTTGCTCTTGTGCTGACAGGCACTGCCCAGCTGGAGTCTCTTACAATCTCTCTGCACCCTGGTGCTGCCAAACCAACCACACCCCACCCCACCACAGCTGCCTCTCCATGTGCTGCAGCCACTGCAGCTAAACCTGCTGTCCCTGCCACCAGCATCACTGTTACTCATTTTCTGATTTCCAAGCCCACAAATTCTGCTTCTCCTTCTACAACCACGCAAGTGACCACGAATTCTGGATCTGCTACTGCCCTTTCAGGGCTAAGGACTCCAGCCATGGCTCCTGAGCCAACAGTTGTCTCTTCCAATGATACCAGCCTTGTGACCCTCCTCTCTTTTCCAGGTTTCATTTTGTCCAGCTATTCCCCCACATCTTCCCAAAATTACCTTTGGGGTTATGACCCCTCTGACTCAGAAAGCCCCCTGTCAGAAGGTGTTCTGAGAGGGAAGGGTGCCTTTCAGTTGGGGGAAAAAAGCAGCCTTGTAGCAGCTTTGTTTTTTGGGGTGATATTCTTGTTGCTAGTTATTGTGCTGACAGGGAAGAAAATCCATGAATCTCTTCAGAAAAGGCATTACACCAGGCTGGATTATTTGATCAATGGAATGTATGCTGATGTCTGACTGGGAGAGGGAATAAAATTTTGAGGAGTATCTCTCACTTTTGAGAGGAAAACTGAAATAGAACAGTTTATATTGAAATCTCAGAAGAGAATGGATTCCTTTTTTGGGCTCTGATGGGAAAGCAGGAGGCAGGAGATGTGTTTGATGGTGAGAAGAAATGCTTTGTCTGTGCTGAACTATAATGTCTATAATTTTTGATTTATTCCTAAATCCTGAGAGTAAACATCTAAATCCAAGTTAAGCTAAGAAGGTCTTATATTTAAGGAGAAAAAGATTTCACAAGCTTAATCTGTACTGTGACAAGATTAGTGAAATTGAAGTACACCTAATAAATTGAGTACCTGTGCAGCACATGGGTGTTTTCAGTGCTATTTACACCAAATGCTGGAGTGTTACACAATTGCCTGGCAATCCTATTTACCCTATTTGTAGCTTTAAAGGAATACTTAGTAATAGAGCTTTGCATCCAAATGGTTTTAGGTACAAACAGAAAAAAATATATTACATATGGCATAATTTAATTTTCCTTATCTAAATATAGTTTATGGTTATATACATATCTTTAAAGTTCTTCTGCATACACCACAGGTATCCTTAAAACTACATACTGCAAATGTGAGTGCTCTCAAAGCATACCCTCTTCACTTCTAGCGTCCCCTTCATGTGGCTGGTAATAAGCATGGCTGCTTAGTAACAGTTATCTTGATATTCGACTTTTTTTCCAACCTAAACAACTCTATGATTTTATGTTTTCCGGTCTCTACAACAGAGAGAGTAAGTGGGAGCATCTACTGCCACACAACTTCCAGTTCATGTTATTTAAATTTCCCTTCACATGCAGTCAGTCTAAAACTGGTTTTAGAATGAAAGGCTAGATTTCAAAGTGTTCATATTAGGTGGCATGATCAACACCAAATGTCACAGCAGAGAAGGAAGGGTGCCTCACAAATGCAAGGAAACAATTCTATTGCAAAATATGAAATTTGACTCACATCCAAGAGATTCTTAGATCTGTCAAGCTTAGTGTGGTGAGAAATAGGTGTGATCCAAAAAATGGCCTCAAGCCAAGTTTTCTGAAAGCTCTAAATAACTAAATGCAGAAAATTCTCTGAAAATTCCATTATTCAGAGATCAAAAAAAAGTCAGTGTTCCTTGTGTCAAGAACTTGAATTTTTATTATATGGAGGTTACAAATTGCTTTTTATATATAAAACCAACTGGTCTGCTACATTGTTTAAGTCTGACAATGGTTAAAAAAAAGGTAGTCTGGATAACCTCTTAAAAGTGAACAAAATTACAGAAGAAATGTACCTCAAATTTATCAGCTTGTTTTCTGACTCTTTGTTTAACTTAATTTTCTTTCTTATTTTAATAGCTATTTTCAGAGGTTTCTGGTCAAGGAACATAACAAGGAAATGAGTTCACAGAATGATAAGTACTAGTCTTAGCTGTAAAAACACAGATGCAGATCTGAGGTTCACCATAATTTTCTCTCATAAGAACTGCAACCTTCCTGAGAAGATTTCTATGTTGCTGGTATCATCACAGCAGGAGAGGTGAGAAGAACAACCCCTGAATGCTCACTGTGCATTTCTGCTGCAGTAAATAATTTTTTGGAGGGACAGGTGATTGGTATTAATTTATATGGTTACAGTACAGTAGCAAAATATTCAAGAGAAACCAGCAGATGTATCTCAGGGTTGTTCACAGCACAGGTCATGTATTCATCTGGAGAGGGACATTTTACAAGGACATGCAGTGATAGGACAAGGGAGAATAGCTTTAAACTAAAAGAGAGAAGGTTTAGATCAGATACTGAGAAAAAATTCTTCCCTATGAGGGTGCTGAGGCCCTGGCACAGGGTGCCCAGAGAAGCTGTGGTTGCCCCATCCCTGTAAGTGCCAAAGTCCAGGTTGGACAGGGCTTGGAGTGACCTGGGATAGTGGAAGGTGTCCCTGCCCATGGCCAAGGGCTGGAATGAGCTGGTCCTTAAGATCCCTTCCAACCCAAAGCAGTCTCTAGTTACTCAGTGTGGTCCATGTCATTAAAAACTGCCCTCCAGCCCAATCAGCTGTGCACACCCAGCACAGTGAATGGCAGAGGTAAAGCTGAGAAGTGCTCGAGCACCATGCCTGACTTGGTGAGGATGCTGACCTCAGTGGCCTTTCACAACATTTGAGTAAAATAACTTTAGAAGTTGTTACATGAAAGATCTTCTTTTATGCTCCAGTAAAGAAAACAAGATATTAGGCAAGTGTACTGAAACACTTTTAAAAAATTATTTTCCCCATCCATTTGTCATGTTGGATTAAGAACTAACAGAGAATTAATTGATAGCTGACCAATTTGGAGCTTTCTGGAGGGTCCTTTACAAGCTGTGTTTGGACACTAGAGGGCAACAACAGTTTATTAAATAGAATTGACACATTATGAAGATTTTTGATGATTTAAAAAACTTTTAGTTAGCTTGTTTTTTTAACTTCCCAAACTATGGCTATTGCATTGTGGAAAGGTTTTATAGGAAAGATTTTTGTTTATTGAAAGGGTTTGGGTGAAGGATTATATTCACACATTTTTAAAAGTTTTTACTGCATCATATAATGCAGAAGACACCAAAATGAAGCATATTCTCTACTTTAATAACACTGAATCAAGTTGCATTATTAGTCATGTATTGGCATCTCCAGTTAACAGAGAGAGAGATTTTCCATCATCATTCTTTTGACTATGATGCTTTATTATATGCATTTTTGGAGCTTATTTATTTACCTGGATAATGCTCTTGTATTATGAATCAAAAAGGAGCAAGAAAAAGTAACTAAAAAAGCCCATCCAGTTTGTTATGCTTTCCAACATTAAAACTTCTGTGCACTCTACTATTTTTCCACTGACATCTCCTGTGGTCTTCACTGTGCACCACACATGGAACTGGATCATTAATCACCACTCTGTGATGACAAGTCTTACATTGGAGTGGCTCTTTCTGGACATAATTAGTTTTGCTATGGCAGTAGGTGAAAAGCTGATTGACTTTTGTCACCTGGAGAGCATCATAAATTCTGTAGCTGATTGTTTTCATATTGTTGCTTTATAGCGCTGAGCAAACATAAGGTATGTAAATATAGACTGTCATGAACAAAATTGTCTTGTGGCATTGTACAGTAAAGCAAATAACCCAAATTTTATAACCACTGCAAACAACCATAAAGAAATAAATTGTAGACCTATTTGAGATGGATGAGAAGGATCCAAAGTCCCTGCTTCAAAAGGCAGTAAATTCAGCATGGTGTGTTCTCTGCAAATAGTGCTTAAATTCATTTCAACTCCTGTAGGAGCAGGAAATGCTTAGACTCAGGATTATTTCAAGTTACTAAACAACTAACAAAACCTAACAAACAAACAAGGAAATAAAACCACAAAAAAAAAAAAAAATACATGAGAAGGCAGTTTCAAAACTGGATCTTGTTTTCCTGCCTCCTGCAAAACCATCTTAGTGAATTTGAATCTGATGACATGCTTTGACCCTACCATCCCACATTCCATGCTGATAAAATCATGGAGTTTAAAAGGCCAGTACTGCAGTCAGCAGTTCCCAGGCAGTATCCCATCATACAGAGAGCTATACTTCTGTAGACTTCTTTCTGTCACCCTCCTGAAATGGCCCTAGACAGCTGTCCTCTCCCTGTACATTACTAATCCTCTCATACAGGTAATGCACTTCTCTACACTAATTCTCAATGAATTCCTGTTTATAGGTAGTTGTGGGATAGCTGCATCCCCTCATCCTTGAAGTCTTGCACATCCCTTCAGGAGTGTGCATGCTATTCCCAGATGCTTTCCCAGTGTCTTGATAGGTATGTCCCCTGAAGGGCTAGGGTATATTGAACTATTTTCTTCTTCTTCAGAAAGCCTATGCTTAATCTCACAGTTTAAATTTGCTTTTTTGCCTTTAGGTCTCTACACTTCTTGAGGATGTCAAAGCACAAAGCATAAAAACGCTGCTCTTTGTCACCTGTGTGTTTGGTATTATAAACAATGTATAAAAGTATTTTTAAGTTTCAGTACAACTATACTGTATCACTGTTTCCTGTATATTGGCTTACTTAATTAAAAAAAAAAAAAAAGGCATGAGGGTCATGCATTACTTCTTTTCTCTTTTTCTCTTACTCCTCTCCTTCCAATCTATAAAATGTCATTTTTGTAAGTTACAAGAGTTTAAATATGCTGTGTTCAAGCTATTCTGATCCTTTTTTTTTTTTTTTTTTTTTTTTTTTTTTTGTGGTTCACTTTGTTTTTAA